AAGATGTTGTTTATCTATCTACCTACCTATCTAAATTTCATACTAGAGAAGAGGTGTCAGACAATCCATTTAGAGTAAACATTGAATATATGTTTGTAGAAGCATTAATATTTCCACATGAAACTGTAGCACAAAAATTTGATTCATCAACAGAATGAATATCCTCAATTTTTAAAACAAATCTGAGATATGGTTTCACTGATTTGGATGGTATTTCTCAGCATATTTAGGCACATGCTTCTGGCCTATAAGATTTGTGACACGTATGTTTGCAAAACGTTGATTGAATTTCACAGGTATTTGGAAACAGATATTTTAATGATGTTATAGTTCCTGCTACAAAATTATAACCTTGAACATAGCAATTTCAGTTTCAACAACTCTGTAATGATTGTTTTCTGTTGGTACCTAAATAGACTATTTATATGATTTGCACTTAATATTTGACTGCATATTTATATTGTGGTGATTTTTTCCCCACTTTTCCTCATTTCTAGTTCATTTTAGGCCCAGTCTCCCAGAAGTAAAACAAAAATATTTTGTTAGAAAGGCTAAAATTTATCAGAACTGTTTCCAGAAATCTCTCTGTAATGAATACAGTCATTATCACATGAACCTGTAAACACTGGTTTTATTCTTCTAGCATCTTATTTTTTTTTTGTTATGATTGATCATAGAGATAGATATATTTAAATCTGGATGGTATTGCCAGTAGTAATATAAAATACTGGCCCATATTCCATGACTAAAATCCTTGAAGATGACATCTTTTTGTGACTGAGGAGATAGGAACAACAAATTCAATTACAGAAAGCCTTCTCTGTCATTATACTTGTCTGCTTCCACAAGAAATGATTTGTAAATGGTGCTTTAACTTTCCCTCCCATAAATCTTGTGGTCATAATTGACACTTGTCATTGATGATGGATGATAAAAGAAAAAAGAAAGAAAGTAAATGAATAAACTCTCTGGGGAAAAATATCCCTATATGAGAAGTTATATTTAGAAACTTTGGCTCCTACACATTAGATTTTAAATTTTGGGGAATCTCATGTATGAGATTTAAACTGGATTCAAACACTCCACTAAAGGTTTTTTTCTGCTTTATTTTTTTCCATTTCCTGCACATAAGAAATTATCCAGTGCAGGAGCTATGAATGATATTAGAGTCAATAGTATCATCTATCAATTTAAGGTTGCTTTACTACCGATTGATACCTATGTTGAATGTTGGGGAAAAGGAAGACACAGACTGGGAAGTAATATTTCAATCAAATATTAAACAAAACAATACATAAAATAGATATATTAAAATATCTTTAGGAATGGACAAAACTTGAAATGGAGCTTTGCATATAGGTTTCTTCTTTATTTGTAATATTTTACTCAGTAAATTTATAATTTATTTTTTTTATTAATTTTTTTTATGCCTTCCCAACTCACTCAGTGACATAATGTGTGCAACTGATTCTTGTTTCTACCTGAGGAGTTTTAAATGAAAAGTGAATATGATCAGAACAATGAGATAAATAGGATTATTTCAAAAAAAAATATGGACATTTTAATACATTTTATGCAAAAATATACCAATTAATCAGATGAGATGAATAAATAAGGTGCATTTTTAAAAAACATGTTTTACAAATTTGACCCTGATGTGGAAATAAATTGAGGCAACCAGCGTCACCAATAATCTCCAAGGAATAATAGGTAATTTTAAGAGTTTTATATCTGCAAAAATTAATGATTGAAAGCTGGTAGGATTAGCTTCCATCTACCCTCATTTCGTGCTGGTTGCTTCTCTTTGTATATTTTATAGGATGCAGAAGCAGTGTCAGGATTATCACATTGTAGTTCATAAGCATAATGAACTAACTCGGACCACTAATAAATGTATCAGTCTTTCAGCATAGTCTCCATCATGCGATAAGTTTAACAAAAATAGATGTTATTAATCATTGAAAAATATACATTTCAATCCAGTCAAATTAAATTGCTTGATTTTAGAACTTTTCCCCCATTTCTGTCATAAATTGTTTGTGAATGATTTAAACACTATAAATTAACAGTATAAGATTTAGAGGTGTCATCCTTCATATTGGACTTTTACCTGATTGATGTAAGTAACATGTCTCCATTTCCTATAACCAATTCCACTGGGAAACCACAAGAGTATTATGGATAATTTGTGTTGTATCAGCAGGCTCACAAAGGTTTCCAAATCTTAAGAATTGCTTGTGACTTTATTCCACCTTTAGTAGGTTAAGTAAAGGAAGTCATTCCAGTTTTGCACTTGATTGTGTGTGTATTTTTTTAATATTTGTTCTTAAGATTTATTTATTTTTATTACAATTTAGCACATGTATCTAAAGTAAATCATTGATTTTATTATATGTGTGACTTGGATACACATATAATGTATAATATAATATATGTTTGGTAATATAAGAATTATTCTAAGAAGAAAGGGACAGAAGGAAGGAAGGAAGGAAGGAAGGAAGGAAGGAAGATAATTTAGTATGTTGCAGTTTAGCTTAAATAATGTAAACATAAATGTATTCCTTCTCTTTTTCATTCTCATTCTCTTCTCCTTTTCCCTTTCCTCTATTTTAATCCCAAAGAAAACTCCTGTGTTTTATAATTTTGTATTTCTGTCTTAAGTAAAAGTTATTATTCCACAATTGTAAAGTCTAACAAATATTTATCCAGTGAACTGCCTTGGCTGGATGTGGAATTTTGTGTGAACACATGAGTATGAGTGAGTGTATAACCATTGTGTATTTGTATTTATACCCATTTTTAAAGTAAATTTGCTTAGATAATATAAACGTGAAAGAAAGCATAATATTATTTTGCTGCTGGTCCTCATTTTGAAATGTTTTGACTTATAAGGCAGTTATGGAAAGGAAAAGTTTTTTCCTACTTAAATGACAGAATAACATATTTGGAATGGACCATAAATGTAGTTACTGTAAGTCCATAGTACTTGGCTCAATTGCAAACCCTTCTTGATCTCTTTCTCTTTAACAGCAGATTAACAAATAGGAATAGCCAACATTCCAGTTTGTCTACAATTCCTTTATAATCACATAAATAAAGAGTATTTTCATCGATGACTCTGGAACGATCTCTGAAATTTAGAAAAACACTCACAAGTGTATATGCAAGGTTAAGCCTGCTTTCTTAAAAGAAGGCTCTGGATTTTTTTCCCCAATTAAATGGTCATCTACATATTACTTATTTATCAAATTTATATGGCATCCATCTTGCAAAAAGTGACTCTAGGTATGACATACAACAATTAAAACAATAAATATATAACAACATAAAAATGTAAAAATAAAAAACACAAGGTATGAGAGAGAATAAATGTTTACTGTGGTGATGGAACCACCTCAAGATTTCACTGGATCCCTTCGGATTACCCCTTCCCCCCCCCAAGCCTGATGACATAGCCAGATTTTGAGGGACTTCTGAAACATTAACAGAAATGAAGCTAGTCTCATTTGTGGCAGGAACAAGGAGAGATGGGCTGTAATTTCAATAGATTTCATGGAACATATTGATTATGATTTCAGTACGAATATCAGTATTATGTGAACATGGCAAACTGTATACTGGTTTCTGCCCTGTTACTCCGTCTTTCTTTCCTTCCCATTGCATCCTCTCTTGACATTTCTCTTGCTGCCTAGTGATCACTGTCAGAGACAGCAGGCTCATCTCTTAGTATGTTTTCCTTGGTGTTGTACATTGCCTTTTTGGAAAAAAACAATCCCTCCCTGGATAAATAACTCTACATAAATGCATGTAAAATAAATTCAGTTTCTTTTTTTTTTATCAAAGTCTTGCTACTTTTCAAAGTGCAGCCACTTGCATGCTTCCTAAATCCTAATGCAATTCTTAGCCTGTAGGTAAATACTCTCTATATCTCAATCAGAGTGCTGGAATTTCTAATATTTCAAACCATGTGATACATTTGCATTTCTGGAAAGTATGTCTAAACATGTGTATGTCAGGAGCAAATATAGAAAGAAATGCATACTGTATGTTAAGAAAAAAAATCTAATACTGTATTATAAAGGAGGTTTGCCTAAGAAAAATATGTATTTTAGGACAGCATGCATAAATATGTATATAGTAGGATAATCATCCTTGAAGGGTTTGCTGTATTGGTGCTGTTACCATTGTGTCTTCCACAAGCAGGCAGTGATAATACTCAGCTGTAAGAAGAGTACAACATAAAAATTCTATATTGATATTTAGGGAACGATCTTACAGACACTTTCTTCCTGACAATTTTAACAGAATCTGTTAAAACCACTATCACCGTAGAGAAGTACTGAGAGTGCAGTAGAGTGGTGAATTTCATAGTCCAAAGTTAAAATATCTTATTACTCTTTATTGACAACTCAGTAGACTTACTCATTTTAAAACAAAACATGAGTCCCGAAAGAAAAAATGGTAGTGCCTTTGCAAGTTATGGCAGCTTTCTATTATTCAGTATTGCATGCATTTTGCTTTCAGACACATTTTATAAGTGCAAGAACATAGTGAGTTTGAACTAGAATCCATGGTGAGGATTTGAAATAGGACTGCATATTTGTATCCCTTGTGCATGTATTTTTCTTAAAAGTGACATTGAAATATATAGAATATTTGGCTGTTGGTTTACCATCAAAAATATTCTAGAATCATGTTTTCTGGTTAATTAGAATTTGTTTACTTATTTTTTTGTCCTTCTGATACCATCACTTGCTAGTTGGGACTGATTTGAACAGTGCTGCCTTTTGTGGTTTATACTTTAATTTCTGTTTTTGTTCTGGTTTATGAACAATAAGGCCTTGCTTGAATATTCACTGCCTTTTAAACGTTGAACTAAGGAAGACACTTTCTCTTACTTTAATGGTAGCAGCACGGCATAGGATTGATCAGTAGTGACATTTGATTGGAGAGATCCAGCACATTTGCCTGTTGTTTATTGAAGTATTTTCTTCAAACAGCTCCCTCGCAAGTTAGTGGTGTAATGAAAGAAAAAGTGCTGCAAAGGAGTGTGGAGCTTTCCTGGCAGGAACCTGAGCATCCCAATGGAGTCATCACAGAATATGAAATCAAGTATTATGAGAAAGTAAGCATTACTTTGAATGTGGGCCATTCTTCTGTTCATGTCATTGCAATATCTTGTGGTAGTGGACTAACATTTTGTATAGCCAGCATGCAGCCTTCATTTTGGTTGCCATTCTGTATGACTGTTGAAGATAATCTTACCAATTTGATTCCATCTTCTCCAATACACAAGGAGAAGGTAGTAAAATCAAGTCACTATTTTCATGAACAAAAGCTTCAATTGATCAATTGTTGATGGCAGCCTTAGTTGATGATGCCACAAAGCAATGAGTTAGGATGCACTACAGGTAGTCCTCAAGTTACCAAGGCAATTGGAACTGGTATTTCCATCACTAAACAATGCAGTCATAATGTGTGATGCCACATGGCCACATCGCTTAGAAATGGCAATTTCTACAGACTCCATTGCAGTTGTTAAACAAACATTGTATGTGTTAAACAAGCGTCTCCTCACAACTTCCTGGTGGCTTCCAGCAACCAAACTTGTTGGGGAAGTCAGCAAGAAGTTGCGAGTTCTAGGTGGCTTGCAAGCAAGCTGACAAGCAGATAAGTGACTGCGGTTGAGTGGGAGGACATGCACAGGTAGGCAGGGTTTGGATAGGTGGTTATTGCTGACGAGAGATTGGAAAAGGGGTGGGGAGTGTAACAGGGTTTAGAGTGGTTGCTGCCAGGCCAGAGAGTGTGCCTAAGTGGCTGGGGAGGTACAGTGAAAGCACAATGAGCCTTGAGGAGGGGGTGACAGTCGCATGGGAACTGTAGTGCAAACACAGTGAGACTCAAGGAAAGTGTGCAGGGATGTGTGAGTGCCCAGAAAGACTTGCCACAAGCACAGCAAGGCTCAGAGAAGGTGAACAAATGGCTGCAGAAGAGCAGTGCAAGCACAGCGAGGCTCGGCAAAGGTGTGCCGGTGGCAGGAAGTTGAGTGGCCAGAGTGCAAAGTGACTGGGAACAGTGCACTGGTGGGAGAGACTTACTTAAGTAACTTGCAAACTTCCCTGCCAGTTTTCCCACTGACTTTGCTTGTGGGAGGCGAACAAGGAAAGGAACAAGGAGATCTAAATCAGGTGATCACAGGAAGCTCGACCATTGTAAGTGCAAGCACCCAGATTGTGACCGTAGAAATGGTGGGACAGATGGAGCTTTGAGATCTGGTCATAAAGTTATTTAGCACTGTTGTAATTTCAAACAATCAGAGAACACTGAGGACTACCTGTTTGTACTCTTTACTGTAATTGGGAATGAAGAAATATATTTTGAAATGCACTTATTACTAAAAATTGATAAATTGTTACAGCATTTAAAAGGCACATATTCTGATGTAGTAATATACAAATTATTATATTAATTGGTTAAAATATGATAATTAACACTCTAAAATAATTGCTATTAACCAAGATTCCTTATAATTTATTAATTTAATAGCAAAATATTCCCATATTCTGACAAATCTGGGCATTATAAAGGAATCATAAAACAGTAGTCTTACAGTATAACAAATTTAAAACAAAACAAGAAATAGTCAACTGGACATTTTCCTGCTCTATTGGGCCTCAGAAGTGTTGTAGTCCCATTTACAAAGGAGTTTAATTAATTCAAAAGCTTCTTAAAATTCAGAGCGGAAGGTCCAAACACATAGCGTAAAGCTTTAGGATATAATACTTAAGTATTGTAAGAAATGTTATCTTACATTTTCTGTATATAGGCATCCAATACAACTGCAATGATGGGATAATCACATGTGCCACCTTTTGGATTTCTATATCTGAAAAAATTATTTTGAAAATCCTTGTGAATGAATGGCACAATTTTTTGGAGAAATAGAAACGATAGGACAGACATCATATCTTTATTTATGAAGGTTTAGTCAAAGTTTAAAACTTAAAATTAGAACTTAAGCATTGATTTTGCTATGAGGTTATTCTTGTAAATATAGATTACATTCACATGCTGTAATTCACGTAGTCCTCATCTAGTGGCTGCTGCGTTTAGTGTCTGTTCCAATTTACAGTGGAAATTAAAATAATTTTGCAGCCAGGTTACAGCCTTTGCATGTCTGTAAAGCACAGGAAAGATGAAGTAAGATTGTGAACACATTTGTGATTTCACTTAGCAACTGCTTCATTTAATGACCTAGTTGCAGATCCCAATTGTGGTCAGCAAATGAGAACTACCTGTACAATATATTCTCTCTTTTTTCTCCCACAAATTACTATTTTCCCCTTTCTTTTGTTTCTATATGATTCCATTTTTTCTGTATTTTAGAAATAAATTAAATTGGAGAGAGTAAAATTCTTTTTTTCTTTAACTTTCAATTCTGAAAGTCCACATGATGGCTATTATGTGCAACATTCTCCATGAACCAGGCAATTATGGCCATCAGTGGCATCTTATCAGACATGAATAACATTGGATGAGATTCAATCCTAAGGCTAGAAGTAATCCACATTTTTCATGATGAAGAATGTGAAGAGAATTTGCTGATCATTTAAAACTGGATTGGATGACTAATATGAGCAGTTTCCAAATCAGATAATATTGACCTATGTAAATCTGAGGTTATGAAAATAACATAGCCTGAGATCGAGAATGTGAAAATCAGCTTAACACAAAGATTTCTGGAAAAGACAGAGTGAGCCCCACTAATAGTATTCTATTAGCCAATTTGACTATTACACCACTGAAAGGATTGACTGAGATAACACTGTCCCAACAAATTCTGACCTTGGAGTAGATACCAAACCATTTAGCCCACAGGAGCACCTCAGATAGAGAGCCAAAAGATACAAAGTAGGTCTGAGGGAAAAAACATATTGCCATATAGCTTTAGAGCAATGAGTTCTTTAAAGCCCTAATTAGGATTGATCATGACCTTTTATCCAGATACAGTTATATGTTGGTAACAGCTTCCTGTTTAGAGTTCATTTTCACATAACTCATATGATACCGTATTTGATTTCTAGAACTCACGACTGTTTCCTCTTGACCAAGGCATCTATCTTAGTTTCTAGGCTGAGTGAATGTGAATTGTTAACATACTACTTTTCGTAAACTCAGCCACAGCATATGCTAAAATGAGAGCTATTGTGCTTTAGATAGAATTCTGTCTTATTCCTTTTTAATATTAAATAATAAAAACAAACCAATAACAAATTTTGTAACTATTTATAGTTTAATATAAAGCCGAGGTGGCACAGCAGTTAGAGTGCAGTACTGCAGGCCACTTTAGCTGACTGTGTTCAGCAGGTCAGCGGTTCAAATCTCACTGGCTCAAGGTTGACTCAGCCTTCCATCCTTCCAAGGTAGGTAAAATGAGGACCCAGATTGTTGGGGGCAATGTAAATATATATATACATTGCTTGCTGGTGTACACCGCTTAGAGAGTGCTTGCACTTAAAGCGGTATATAAGTCTCATAAATAAATAAATAAATAATATTTTGTAAAAGTAAATTGCTATTTAAGTAGAAAACACCGTTTTAATTCGACCATCATAAAAGATCCAAGCATTTTCTTCAGATAATTTTTATACTACGGAACTGTAACAACTTTTTGATGTAGATTCCCACAGAACTGAATTATAGTAGTATTCTCTATACTACAGAACTTAACAAAAAAAATGGTGTAGATTTCCCCAAAGAATATAAGACTATACATTTTAAATAGATAATTTAAACTAAAGATAATTGTACATACTTTTCTTAGGTTTGTTGGATATACATAAACCAACTATCATAGATTTACTATCAATGACTGATTTACTGTAAATTTTTATTTAAAAATTAAGATCTAACTTTACTAGATTTTTGATGAAAATCTGAATACAATTTTACTAATTTAGGTACAAATTCACTGAAAAAAATATGGAATCCACTGTCTGTAAGTCTTGCATAAGGTTGTTACCCAGTAGAAAATTTTACTTATCCCCTTGTGTATGAAAAATAATAAGAATGTATCTATCACAAAAAAAAGTAATAGAAGAAAACAGATTCATATACATTTATGGGCCATTGTCTGTCCTACTGAAAATAAAATGAACATGCTTCTGCTTCAGTTAATTTTAAGCTATTAATATCAGAGGTGTTCTTCCACCCATAAGTGAAGTCAGGTAGAATGAGCTTTGTAGAGTCTGCAGAGCTGAAATAAATAATTGTTATGATTTTTCTAGGTAGCTGAAAAAGAACATCTTATTTCCTAAGAGTAGGGAGGAACATGCTGATTCCTGAACTGATACATCACAATATTTGAAACTGATTGATGAATAAGCCAAAGTCCCAGTCAGACAGGCAATGATTTTCTCTCTTCACTTTTATGAACAGCACCATGTGCTTCCCATTTACATTTTGTGTTATTTTAAAATCTCCTCAGTGAAATGACATTGTGTTATGCCACAGCAGCAGAGTCTCTGCTAAATTCCTTATGCAGGAGGAAAAAAATTCCTTCTAATAAATTGAAATAGGGTGCCAGAAGCCAGCTGTCAATTATTGATACAAAGCAAAATGAAAATCTGAAAGTTAAATACCACTCAATTGTGTATTTATGTTTGCAGGACCAAAGGGAGAGAACTTATTCAACAGTGAAAACCAGAGCCACTTCTGCTTCGGTTAATAATCTGAAACCAGGAACTGTATATGTTTTCCAGATTCGTGCTTTTACTGCTGCTGGCTATGGAAATTATAGCCCTAGATTAGATGTTGCTACACTAGAAGAAGCCACAGGTAACACATTTTTTGGCAATTAATATCACCAAGGAAACCCAAAACATATAGCAAATTGGTAGAATGGAAACATTTTTGCCTTTCTCAATTATAGTCTCATTTCTCAGTTCTCAATTAAGCTCTCAAGATTTCCTGTGACTTACCTTGAGGTTGACAAGCAAGACTTAAGTCAGTGCTGATTTTTCACTGCAGTTTCTGTCTTAGAAAAAAAAAATATCTTAGGACTGTTGCTTTTTGCTATGAATTTTTCAATAGAAATGTGAGGATTAAAAAAAATATAAAGCAACATGTACAGTTATATAACACAAAATGATTCAGTGTCTTGAGGCTTTTTATTTTAACATTCCAAACAAATGGATGGTCATTTTTGTTCACATTCAGATCACACGATTAATCCTTCTTCAATCCTTCTGATATCAATAATAGCTTCTCAGTAGAATCTTTATTTCTGGCTCTTAGCATAACATCTTTTCTATTGACATTGGATATATTTAGGAATTATTCTCAGATCTTATTTATTGTGTCCCAGTTTCCAAAGGGAATAAAACTGACCAGAGCAGCAATATTTTTCTGTGTTTTTGGTTTTTAAGTTGCTCTTCTGAGGATTATGAAAGGCCTACACACTTTCTGTCTTCAGTACTTCTCTTTAAATATTTATATTTCAAACATACTGTTAAATTTATTTAATTCACTGTGGATCCTAGCAAGAATGGAAGTAAGGAATAGCAAACGTTATCATTTATAGATATACAGAGATAGACATTATATACAAGCGTAAATGTAAAGTTCTGCTACACATTATTCCTTTAGAATTCTTTATTGTGCAATGTTCATGACAAAAACAAGACATTTATTTATATACCACCCAGAACTAGGTCTGTTTGGGGGCTTTACACTTAGGTTGTGTCTTTGTCCACTGAACAAGATGACTTCTGAGACCTGAAACAAATCTCAATTCAGTGCATTCTCTTCCAAATTCATTTACAACCCCAGTTACTATAGACTGATTCTTATTACAGGTGGTCCTCTACCTACCACCAAAATTGAGCCCCAAATTTTTGTTGCTAAACAAGACAGTTATTAAGTGAGTTTTCCCCCATTTTACAATCTTTCTTGCCACAGTGGTAAAGTGAATCACTGCAGTTGTTAAGTTAATTAACAAGGTTGTTAAGAGAATCTGGCTTCCCCATTGACTTTGCTTGTCAGAAGGTTTCACAAGGGAATCACATAACCCCACTGCAACCATCACAAATACATGCGAGTTGCCAAGCATCCAAATTTTAATCACATGACCATGGGGACAGTCATAAATATAAAAACTGATCATGTCATCTTTTTCAGTGCCATAGTAACCTCAGTCACTAAATGAATGGTGATAAGTCAAAGACTACCTGTACTTTAACATACGTATACCTTAGGCCTCATGTTCTTCTCCCTCTTTAATCTCTTCCTCCTCTCCTGGCCCCTTACTCTTGGAAGAGTTTAGACTTAGTTTGGTTTTGCAATGAAGCATTCATTTGAAAGAGGGGAAATGTGTTTGGCAGCCTTCTCCAGCATGTGAGAAACAGTAATCTGCCCAGGTTAAGAAATTAAGGGTGGAGGCAATGGAGAGGAAAATTTATGAAATGAGGCCAAGATTTACAGCAAACACATTGGAGACTGTATATGAGAGAAAGACATTTGAGTATCGGATATTATTCATCTGAACTTCTGGAGGTGGTGTATCTGCTGTGAGGAGGACAGGAAGAAATATTCCAAGAAACAAAGGACTTCATTCTTTCTTGATGGAAAAAAAGGGAGGAAGCAGAAAATTTCTTTCAAAAAATCAGAATGTGTGGCCAAAAGTTTTAACTAAAAAAAAAGGGGTGAAAAGAAACTAGCCCTTTTGTTGCTTTATTCCATTATCATTCCTATATGCCTAACCTCTTACAGTGTTTCTCAACCTTGACAATTTTAAGGCATGTGGACTTCAACTCCCAGAATTCCACAGCCAGCATTGCTGGCTGTGGAATTCTGGGAGTTGAAGTCCACATGCCTTAAAATTGTCAAGGTTGAGAAACACTGCAAGAGGACCTGGTTTTTCCATTATTGAGGAATTTCTGTTTCTCACCTGACAGCTGCTCTTCCAGCATCTTTCCAAAATCCATTTTTTCCCCTAAGAGCTGGAGCTGCAGAACAAAAGAACATTCATCTCCATTCATTCTCTAGAGAGCTTTTTAGGAAGTCCCATGCAGGACCGTGCAGAGATCCACTGAAAAATAAAGCTGATGATGCAACTGAAGCTTTGTTTCACAACACAGCAATGTTGTTTTAACCATCACAAGAAAAAGTAACAAAATGTTTTCAGTATGTTACTGCTTGCTAAATTGAGGGGAAAACAACATTGGTGGGGATAGATAGAGAAAGAATGCACACACCAAGCATGAGAGAATCAGAATATCTTTAATTTTATTTTTATCAAATGGTGCTTAATTTTGGGTTTCCAGGAACTGTGGAACCCAGACCCTATGACAAAGGTTTCGATCCAGGTGGTACCACTGTTTCTAAGAGGGAGCATAAATTTGCATATTTAGTCTATAAGCTTCTGCAGATTTACTTTTTTAAATTATATTCCAGGATTGCTATATTTTTCAACCAAAACTTGCAGGTCAATTTAAACAATTGTGTTGGCTGGCAGAAATGCAACAGATCCCATTTCCTGACATAAAGCTAAAGTAATGAGAAATCTAAATGTGTTGAATGTTTTTGCTTGTGAGGCAAAGTATCTTTCTCCGACTAAAGAAGTAAATTTGTTTCTTGCTCACAAATACTGAATACACATTCTGTGCAATAGTTTACAAAAAATGAAATTTCTAAGAACTGATGAGATAGGTAGATAGATAGACAGACAGACAGATAATCTTAATTTTACTTCTCATCTTTGCCTGTTTCTTTTCCTGATACAGCCACTGCCGTATCCAGTGAACAAAATCCTGTAATCATAATAGCTGTGGTAGCTGTGGCAGGCACAATCATCCTGGTTTTCATGGTGTTTGGCTTCATCATTGGGCGAAGGTATTATTTTCAAATATTAAGATGCTTAATAGATAGACAGGAATTGGAAAAACTCAAATGCACATTAATCATTGGTAAACAGCAAGTTTATATAGATACATCTGTAGAGATTATTGCTTGCCAGTGGGTAAGCAACTTTAGGGATTGAAAAGAACAAAAAGTTTATATCACAGTATCATTTTGATAGAAGTATCTGATTCAGTTCATCATCCATATTACTAGTCTTATTTACAAATGTGTTACCAAAATATATCTTGATATATGTATTTAAAACAATTTTAGTTATCTTAAAGGACAGAGGCCCTTATCCCAGGAACAGTTACTACCTTTTAGAACTGGTTTTCTAACTGCTTATGACAAAAGACCTAAAAGCTATGTATCTGCACTCCATTTTCATTTGCCTCTTTCAGTAAATTTCTAAGGGTTCTTTGGGCAAAAACAGCAGTATACTACAGGATATCAATAATTCATTGGTGATCATTGAATACTTATTGATGCATAATCTATCAGCTGTAACAGTACACATACTTTAAACTAAGCATGTACAAAACCTAGAATTATATTTCCTATTATGTTCATATTATTACTTCTAATACATTAAAGTGTGACACAGTTTTAATTAAAAAAAATGTTTTTTCCCCCTAGACACTGTGGCTATAGCAAAGCTGACCAAGAAGGAGATGAAGAACTTTACTTTCATTGTAAGTGCTTTGCTGTTATTTCATCCAGGAGATTCCAGGCCAATTACAGTAGATTGGTCCTGGCACTAATAGAACAGTGACAGTGTTAAAAGAACATTTTTGCTGAGAACAAAGATTTTAAATTTGTGTAAACAGCAAATGTAAAGTTAAAAAAAAATCTTCCAAAGTAACATCATAAATTTTATTACAGGGCTCTGTTAATGCAGGTAGTCCCCACTTAGCAACTGTAACTAGGATCTGCAATTCCATCACTAAGCACCGCAGTTGCTAAGCGAATAATCATATGACTGCCATGGGCTTTATGACTCACTTCCCCCTTTAATTGTTAAGTAAAACACCATGGTTGTTGAGCAACATATGTGACTACAATTTACGATTTTACTTTGTCTTCCTTTATTTACTCTGCTTATTGAAAGCCAGTTGCAAAGCACATAAATAGTGATCATGTGACCGTAGGACACTGCGATGGTCATGAATTCATACCTGTTGCAAAATGCCTGATTGGCAATCAGTGACTGCCGGATCTTGTGATTTTCATAAATTCAAGGATTGATCACAAAGCTACTTTTTTTACACCATTATGTAACTATGACCGGTTGCTAATCAAGGCAGTCAGTAAGCGAGAACTATCTATATGCTTCTTTCCAGTTCACAAACTTTGGATGAACATGCAATAGTTTCTTAATCATTCTTCTGGAGCAAAGATGATTGATGTAATGAATAATTGTTGGCCCAATAAATTTTTGATTATGACATTTATATATTTTCTCAGTTGTACCCAAATTGAATAACTAATAATGATGAATATATATGATGAAAATAATAATAATGTTTCTTTCAAAATTTGTTTTCACTAAATAGCTAGCATGAAGTGCGAAAGTGTTTTATGTTGAAAATAGCCCAGTCAATCAAGATTTAACTTATCCGTGAACTGTATCAACTAATTTGTGCATATAGATATGAATTGAATATTTGAATTGTTTAAAGACAATATCAGTAATTGTCGATGTGAATGTAATCTTGTGTACTAATATGTGTATTATATTTATTTCATTAATTCTGTAATCCTCAACATTTCCATAGGAATAATTACTATCTAAATATGTATCGATCAGATTACAAAATTTTCTAAATTTTGTCAATTTGCTACTCAGAACCCAAACAAATATTTGATAGTATAAAATTAAATTAATATTTATTTAAATTTGGAGTTTGATTTTCATTGTATCAATATTTCTATTGTGTTTTATATTTTGTATTCTATTTTACTGTGAGCTGCAGCAAATGCTTATACAAGCAGAAAGATGGAGTAGAAATATATAGGACAAAAATTGTATATTAGGGGAAATTGCTTACCAAATGTGGATGCTAAGAAAGTACATAGAAAATATGCATACCAAGAGAAATATATATAATAGTTCATTCAGTAGTTTATGAAAATATTTTTCTACATGTGAAGTGATGCAGAAGAATACAGTTGGAAAAATAAGTGTCTGAGCAAAAGTGGAAATAACAGACTCACTCATCACACTTAGGAGATCAACAAGTGAACAGTTGTGAATGTGCAGGATGATAATTATTTAAATCAATGGAAATTTTTAGTTAAAATACTGGAATTTCAGAATAAGGTAGAAATAACAATTATATATATTTAATAATACAGATTATATGTTCACTCTGCCAAACTACCTGGATTTAGCTTTTCCCCCTCAAATTTAATAACTAATGATGATGTTAATCACACCTTAATATCTGGTATTCATGTCCATACAATGAATAAAAAGTCCTCCTGCTTGACAATTATTTTAAAGTTTCATGATTTGGTGTAGACTTGCCCATTTGTATAGTCAAAATATCTATCTACTTTTTCTACTCCCTTTTTTTGCAAGTCTGTTGAACAATCAAATGATGAATGGAAAATATACATATATTAAATAAAAGCTACTGAACTGAATAAAAAGACACAGTTCAGTAGCTAAAGGATTAGTTTAAGACTACTAGCCATAGAAATTTTACTATAGCACTTCCTTGGTGCTCAGCACTGGATAGACTGTGCAGTTTCTTCAAAGGAGGATTTCATAATGCACAGGAGCATATAAGAAACAACTATGTTCACACTGTAAAAGCAGTGCGTCTTTTCTCAGCTTAAGCAATTGCTTCCGAAATGGTTCCCAATTGTTTCCACATGTGTGTTCACATAAACCCACTTTGCTTCTTAATAAAAATTAGGAAAGAGGTGCTTTGTACAGATCCCCACATATTCCAAATTACATTTTTTTTTTTTTTTTGAAGGATTTGGTTTTTTAGTAACTGGAGATTCAGATCCATGTTAAGTCAGAGTTTATATTTTCTTTTTCCTCTTTTCGGAAAATCAGAGCAGCCTGTATTTGTTCAGCTCATATGACAGCATTAAAATCAATGTATGGTGTTTTATTGCTTTCCCTCCTTTGATGACTGTGCATGGGAGGTAGATTTTTAAGAAGCTAGCAGCTGCAAGGGGAAAAAAGGGGGGAATTACTGAAATTCTCCTTCTTGATCTCTAATGGAAGCCTTCCCTTAGCGAAGGAAAACAGTGAGTTTCACTCTTCACAGAGCACAGGTTGAAAACATCCTGTCTAAATCAAGCCTTACTGAGGAAACCGAAAACAGTAAAGAGGATCAGTATTACAACGTTCTCATTCATTTTAAAAATAATGCAATGGCAGATATCCCACTGGTGAGATGGAACTATATTAAGAGTGTGAGAAGCTTAATAATAGTGTCTCGTTTTAGTTGAAGTGAGAATCTTCACATATTTAAAATAGTGCTTTTTTAAAAAAGCCTTCCAAATAATATCTGACAAGAAAGTGCAATCAATTTGGGGGGGGAGGGGAAGGGAGGGCTTTCATGTGTATGTGTCTATAAGGGAAAGTGCTAGCCAAAGAATATTTTTCCTCAGCATGCACTAATTTTTAAAATGATATGTTTGGGGGAAATTATAAATAGGTTAACAGCTTAGTCTTAATTGTCAGAAACTAATTTTGAATATAAGATTGTATTCCTTCATTATATTCCTTTCTAGAAGCTCAGTTATCCAATATTAAGGGAAGTTAAAAGCAGATTATCTACCATAAATTCTTACTGTTTTTCTTCTTTTCTCATCTCATTATATTTTTTTCAGTGTCTTGAGACAGAAAGCCTAGTTTTTAATTTGATATGGTCATTGTTTGAAAGAAAAAATAGTGTGCTGTATTCACTACAGGTAGTTCTCAACCTATGACCAACTGCTCAAAGTTGCTTCAGGAAGGATGTTTTATGGCTCATAAAGTAATTGAAGCTGTTGTAAAATGTCCTGCTGCTACCCCCACCCCACCCTACAGTCATATGTCTGCATTTTGGGCAAACAGCTCACATTCATGACTAGTTGTTAAGCGTCCCACAGTCACGTGACTGCATTTGCAGTCTTCTCTGCCACCTTTCCCAGAAAGTCAGTTTGGAAGCCAGCAGGGAACGATCCAAGCAGAGGGGACAGAGGAGTACTGAAATACCTTGTGGGGCTACAGGAAGGGAGCTGAAGCTTCCTGAACCACCAGACAGGATTTCCCTTCCATGCATAGAGAGAAAGATAAATCCTTTGTAAAGCTCCAGAAATGAAATTGAAATCCTTAGATATCAGGTCCATCCCTAAAGCTCCATGAAGGATTTTCCCTCTGTTCACTGAAGAGAATAGAACCTCTTTGTGGGGCTGCAGGAATGGATCTGAAATCCTAAAGATTTTAGTTCCACCATGCAGGTTCATCAAAGATTTTGCCTCCCTGAGCATTGGGAAATGGAAATTTTTTTGGTGAACTGCAGGAATATTTGAGAGAGAAAAGGCTGCCAAGAGGATTTCATCTCTGTGTGGAAATTAAATTCCTTAGTATGCAGCTCTTTTGATCCATCAACTTAACAATCCAGGAGTTTGCCTAATGACTGCAATTGTGAATGTCAGGTTTGGGATCATTGACTGAAGCAGTCATGTGAGTGTCTTGCTTAACAACCATTTCACTAAGCAATTGAGATTCTAGTCTTAAATGTGATCATAAGTCAAGGACTACCTGTAGTCATTTCAATTTTGCATCCTTTTTTTCCTGTACAATCCAGACACTTTGCTGACATATTGAAGAAATTAGAATTAATTTTAATGGTAAACAATAATAGCAACTCTTTAACTAGCTCAAAGCACAAGATTGGACAGAATATCCAATCTTCTGTCTCAGTTTTTATTGAAAGTTTTTACTTTTCAATAATCTCAAATATTACATTTTAAAGTATATAGAAAGATACGGTAGAAAATTTCAGTTAAGCAATACCAATTTACATTTTGTTTACCCTTTCTGTTTCTTTTAGCAGTGCCTCTGAATCTGAACAACATTACTTCATGTTGATATGCCAAAAGAGCTTTGGCATGTCAAAGTGTTTTATGACAGCTTGAATAAAGTACCATCAAAGACCCATTTGAAATTCACAAGGTTACCTCCAAGTCAGGCCCTTACTATAAGTGCAAGGAGAAGGTTCATTCTCCATCTCCTTGCCTGAAAGCATAATATAGATAGTTAACCTGTTGTTTTCAGGCTGTGCCTTTTTTGCTTTGGAACATAAATAAGAATGATTATCTTATCAATTCCAGAAATTGAGCCATTATCATTAGTACTGATCATATTATTGTTTTCACTTAGTCAAAAATGCTATGCAGAAAAATTAACATTTGCAGAATATTTGCAGAATATTTATATTACTAGCATTGCATTTCTATGTATTTATATGAAACAGGTATGACAATTGACAACTCAAATGCTACAGTTTGTAATTCATTTACAAAGGAATAAATCTCACTACACACAAAGGGATTTGTTGCTGAGAAGATATATGTAGATCTGTTGGGCCTGATCATTTCATTGATAGCACTTTGGAAAGTGTTGAAACCAATGTCTAAACATTTCTCCTTAGGAGTCTTCACTTTTATTGTCATTTCCCACTCCATTATTTTTTTTAACCAAAGCAGAACATTATTATTTTTTTCTCATTCCTTGCCCCTCCCTCCCTTGAAACGGTAGTGTTTCAACAAAAGATGTTTTCTGAAAAACAAAGTTCATTCCCTTTCGGCCAGATTGAATATGCAGTTTTGGGGATGACAAACTTTTGATAATGCTGATCAGTCTGTTTCATATTCATCCTTGAGCAACAGGTTTAAATCAACTGTCAGAACAAAGGCCAAATTCTTCATAATGACACTGAACTCAGAAATACATACATATATTCCAGAATGCAGATATATGGACTTATATGGTATAACTTTTATATAATAAAATATGATTAACATTGTTTGGACTATAGTATCATTGAAAAGTATAAATTACAGGTGGTCCTCAACTTTCAACATTAGGGGTGAGGTATCATCAGTACGCGGATGATACCCAATTATATATCTCCACCCCGTGTCCTTTCAGTGAAGCAGTCGACGTGATGTGCCGGTGCCTGGAAGATGTGAGGGTCTGGATGGGGGTGAACAGGCTTAGACTCAACCCTGACAAGACCGAGTGGCTCTGGGTCTTGCCTCCCAAAGGCCAACTGGATGGTCCATCTTTAGTCCTGGGGGGGGCAAATTTACCTCCCTCAGTGCAGGCACGCAACTTGGGTGTCCTCCTGGACTCACAGCTAAATCTGGAACAACATCTATCGGCTGTGGCCAGGGGGACCTTTGCACAGGTTCGCCTAGTGCACCAGTTGCGGCCTTATTTGGACCGGGAGGCTTTACTCACAGTCACTCATGCCCTTGTCACCTCAAGACTGGATTACTGTAACGCGCTCTACATGGGGCTACCCTTGAAGAGTGTTCGGAGGCTTCAGTTGGTTCAGAACGCAGCCGCGAGAGCGATTGTGGGCGCGCCAAGGTACGCCCACGTGTCACTATCCTCCGCGAGCTGCACTGGCTTCCTGTGGGTCTCCGGATGCAATTCAAGGTGTTGGTTATCACCTTCAAAGCCCTTCATGGCATAGGGCCAGGTTACTTACAGGACCGCATTCTGCCACACAGCTCCCAGAGACCGGTGAGGTCCCATAGATTGGGCCTCCTTCAGGTCCCGTCGGCCAGACAATGTCGGCTGGCGGGCCCTCGGGGAAGGGCCTTTTCTGTGGTGGCTCCGACCTGGTGGAATCAACTTCCCCCCGAGGTTCGAACTACTCCCACCCTGCCGGCCTTTAAGAAAGCCGTTAAAACTCTCCTGTTCCGGCAGGCCTGGGGCTGATGTCCCCGGGGGGCCGGGATATGATCGGACTCGCGGTATGACTGTATTATTTTATTGTTTTATGATTGTTTTAACTTTGTACGCCGCCCTGAGTCCTTTGGGATTGGGCGGCATATAAATATTTGAAAATAAATAAATAAATAAATTAAGTGAATGCCGTGGTCTTTAAGCAAATCTGTTTTCTCCATAGGCATTTTTTGCCAGAAATTGGAAGTAAATACCAGAAACCAACAAACAATGTCACAAATCATGCTGCAAATGGGTGTTAGGATGAGCAAGTTGAGATAACAGGGTGGGGGAGGAACAGCTGACATAACTTCAAAAACAGGTTGTAAGTAGCTCTGTAGAGATTTGTCATATGTTTGAACAGTCATTAATTGACCAGTCATAAGTCAAAGACTAACTATAGTGCTTGTTAGGACCAAATATAATTTGTGCTTCCAGTTGCTAACTCAAAAAATACAAGTACAGTTTGAATAATGCCTGGCATAGTTGCCTATACTGAGGGGAAAAAGAAACTGAGGTCTTATTTATTAATCTGTCTTCCATTTGATCACCCTGTAAAACTGCTGGCCATAAACATAAGCAAATCTGAGTGTTTCTGGGAAAATACTTGATTACCTTGTATACCAAATATTTTCTAATGCAATCACCCTGCTTCCTCCTTGTGTGCTTACAAGAGATCCAGATGAAAAAGAAATTCCATTTATAAAATATATTTATACCACATTTATATTGTAAATATAATTAGAGTAGAAAATCTGTTAAAAAGAAAAATCAGAATGTCTTTACAATGCCATTCCTAACACAATGTTTGATTGTTTCAGCTAGAATTCCCTCATGTGGAAGCACACTTGGTTTAACAAAAGCTTCCCAGTTCTAAGGAATATTTTATGTAATTAAATCTCGGGGTTGGATGCAACATAAATGGTTTGCTTCATCACAGTCATGCTTTCTTACATCATTACAGTTAAATTTCCAGGCACCAAAACCTACATTGACCCTGAAACCTACGAGGATCCCAATAGAGCAGTCCATCAATTCGCCAAGGAGTTAGATGCGTCCTGTATTAAAATAGAGCGTGTGATTGGTTCAGGTAAGGTGACTGGCTTCATATATGATTCTTATGTTTAGTCAAATCGAAACTCACATTTCATGGTGACAAGCAAATAGTTATATTTAGTTATGAAGCTTTGCTGATATCAAGGTAATTAGAGGCAACGGATGTAAACCAAATATGTAAAAAAACCTGGTGGTCCCAAACATTGGTTTTTATTTAGGAAAAAAAAATACCGTTGTATATTATAATTCAAATAATTTGTTTTGGTTTATACATTATTTCAAGAAGAAATTGCACTTGAGTTCAAATGCAGATTCCTTATACATTTCACCAAAAGCTTTCATTAAATTATAAATGGAATCTATGTGCATATAAAGGATATTTCTCTGAAGTTAGATCATATTTGTCCAACTAGGAGTTGGTTTATAGAGCCAGTTTTTTCTTCAGGGACTATTTTTGATGCCATTCCTAACACATTTCATTGAAGTTCTTGTCTTGGCTCTTATGGGTGATGGTAATTGTGCTATCATTACATTGCTTTCTTTCCTTTTTCTACATTCCATGCTCTGAAAACCTGTTTCCATTTGTTTGCATTAATAAGAGATGTGACACTTTCATTGCACTAGTTCATGTAGTGAAATTAAGTATCCATAGGCAAGAAAGATGTCAAATGCCTAAGTCTCCTGGAGGAAACATCCTTTGATTTCCTGTTGTTTTATGGTATATCTTTAAAGACCTTTTTTTTTAAGATCACCATTGCCAGGAGTGTGACAAGTACTATATTGTATACATAATTTTTAAGGAAGAAAATGATTTTGTTAAAAAGAATATACGAAAGAAAAATCAATCTTATGAATATTTACATAGAAGTAATTTCCAGTCACTTCGGTTTTATACACATGCACAGAGACAGACAGACAGACAGACACATACATATATATATAATGTGAAGTACAATAAGGTGATCACTAGGATAAAATCATAAACATAAATGTTTAATATACAAAACCAAGCTTTCGTTGGCCACACTACCGACATTGTCAGGGTATAAAATGCTGGATCCGGGAGTCTGTTTTTATGTGGCCGGCTGCTGGTAGTGTGGCCGCCGAAAGCTTGGTTTTGTATATTAAACATTTATGTTTATGATTTTATCCTAGTGATACCTTATTGTACTTCACATTATGTATATACCCAGGATTCGTGTTTTTAATACTATTAAGGATACACACACACACACACACACACATATATATATATAATTAATTAAACTAAAAATCGAAGAACGTCGATTCCTGGGTACATACATGTTTGAAGAATAAAAGACGATCACCAGGAAATAAAAACAATGAAGTTATTTAATAAATAACCGAGCTTTTGATGGCTATACTACTGCCATCCTCGTCAGGGTGTAAAAGCCAGGGGGTGATTAAGACCTTAAGGATAGAGGATGACGAGGTGATGGTATCTTTTGATGTCATCTCCCTCTTCACCTCTATCCCACAGGACCTAGCTCTTGCAACCATTAAAGACCTTTTGAGTCACAAGGGCCCAGGACGCCACCAGGATTCTCTCCGCCCTGAAGATCTCATGGACCTCTTGAGTCTTTGCCTCAAGACTTACTTTACATTTCAGGGCAACACCTATGAGCAAATAAAGGGTACCCTCATGGGATCACCCATCTCCAGCGTTATTGCTGAGGCTGCATTGCAGCAGGTGGAACGTAGCGATGGCCCAGTATTGTCCTAAATTCTGGGCCTGCTACGTTGATGACACCTTTGTTGTCATCAAAAGGAGTCATAAGGCTGACTTTGTGGGCATACTTAACTCGGTGTGCGCGGACTTGCAGTTTACGGAGGAGGAGGAACATCAAGGCAGGCTGGCATTCCTCGATGTTTTGGTCCACCCCCAGCTGGATGGGACCCTTATTACCAAGGTCCACCGCAAGCCCACACACACCGACAGGATTTTGCATTTCAACAGCAATCACCCGGTGGCCCGCAAGGTCGGCTGTCTTAGAACGCTTTTTAAAAGAGCTGACTCACACTGCAGTACGGCCAAGGTTAAAGCTGAAGAAAGGAAATATCTCTTTCACACCTGTAGGCATAATGGGTACCCTACGAAATTTATTAGATGCCATGGTGCTATATCCAAGCCACTCCAGAATCCATCTACTGGGGTACCACTTTCACAGACAACTCGTATCACCCTCCCTTATGTTAGCAACGTTTCTGAGGCTACAGCCAGGCTATTGGCACCCTACAGGGTAAGGGTTGCACACAGACCTGATCGAACGTTGCGTTCCTGTATCATGAGGTTGAAAGATCCACTCCCCGTTGCTGAAAAATCTGGGTTGGTCTATAAGATCCGTTGTACTGATTGCCCAAGCAATTACGTGGGAGAAACCTCAAAAAGAGTTAGGACAAGGATACAGGAACATAAGCTGGCAATACGGAGAGGGGAACATTATTCCCAGATTCTAACTCATATGATGGAGCTTGGGCATAGATTCGATTTTGACGGAGTGCAGGTTGTTTCCAGTGATGCCTCCAAAAGTGGTAGACTACTTAAGGAGGCCTGGTTTTCAGATAATAGGTCTATCAACCGATGTGTGGAATTACGCCTGGTATATCAGACCATGAGGGCATGGGAGATACGCACCTGCTTACGGAGGAAGCCCGCTAGTGTTAATGACCTCGAATCTTCATCTGAAGGGATTGGCAATGGGGCGAGGGGAGCCTTACAACTTAAAGCCCCCTTGATTAATAATTCCCACATATACCCGTCACGAATCAAAGAACTCATTGACAGCAGTAGCCCACCGCCAGATGTCCTAAATACTCCGGATATTCCTTCCCAACATCGTGCTCAATCTTCAGAACCACATATGGTATGTACTCTTCCCAGTACGAAACAGGACTGTTCCCCTTACGATCATATCGTCTCCTACGCTCCTGAGGATGTCCCTGTTATGACCTGTTTGGACACTCGTTGGAATGTTGATGCTCCCGGAATATGCAATGGTCGCAGCCGCCCCATTTAGGGCGTGGTTACGTGCTCCCGGAAGGCAGCACGACGAATGCAGGGAAGTGAAAGTGTGACAATCAGACTTGAAGCTCCGGGAGAGAGCGTTACACACTATTCGGATGCCAAACCCATACAGACATTGACTGCTATGAAACATCGCACATCCCACACACAGTTATGTGGCACATTGAGGGTTGCGGGAGGGAGTGAGAATGAGGATGCTGGTGTGGCCATGCGCCCCCAGAGAACAGTACGACAAATGCGGAAAAGAGAGGCGGCCAGACCTGAGGCCCTGCTGGATGATCGATCTAACAACATGCAGGTTACCTCAGTGCAAGATGACACGGAATGCTCTCCCCCCGATTTAAGAAACGTGAACAATAAGAAAGGAGTTGGCCATACGGGCGTGAAATGCAAAGATGAACCGCAGGATACCATGAGTGATGCAAGGATCAGCCGGCCGGGACTCGTCACGAGGTTGATGAGCCGAATGCGGGTGCGGCTGCGCTCATAAGCGAACTTCCCCACCCCCTGGCTTTTACACCCTGATGATGATGGCAGTAGTATAGCCATCGAAAGCTCGGTTATTTATTAAATAACTTCATTGTTTTTACTTCCTGGTGATCGTCTTTTATTCTTCAAATATAAAAATACATACATACATACATACATACATACATACATACATACATACATACATATATATAGCTATGCAGGTCTTGGTGTATTCGGGTCTTTTCCCGTGTAAGATTGAGAGTATTAACCATGGGAAATGGATCCTCTATGCAAACTGTTGTGTAAGATGGTTCTCTAGTAAGATGACTACTTCTGGGAAAACTGGATTCCTGGGAAACATTGATTTTATTTTTTTTTCACCCTTGGCAGATACACAGGGCAGCTTTTTAGAATCTCCAAATCCACATATATTGTAGAAAGTCACAGAGATGACTTTGGAGACACTAAATACAGATCCCAGTTGAATAAACATGTGTTAAGCCCAGGAAACAGAAAGCTTAAGAAAGAAGCTCAAAGTGACTCCCTCTAATTGACTGGAATAAAAGAGGGAGAAAGCAAAGAAGAGAAAACTCCATCAGACATTCAAGATTCTGTTTCTATAACCTACTTATATGTGTAAAGTATATTCCAGTCAGATTTGTGGAATCTGTTTTTTGACTTTGCCCACCTCAAAGGACTGACATACAAATAAATATCTCTTTATTTTGTCCAGAGTTGCAAATTGAAAAGTGCCAGTAGCATAAGTATTTAAAATGATTTTCTTTATAGCTTAACTCAGGAGCCGTATTCACCAAAGAATATTAAGAGGGAAATACTCCAAATACCCTAGATTGATAATCAAGAATGGCTGTCCATATCATTCATAAAATTTAAAAGTAGAGAACTTCTCTGCGATGAGTGGCACTGAAATTTCTGCACTTTCCTCTGTTATTCTAGTGCAATTGTCCATGGAATAAAAGCTCTTAGTCTTTCGGTGGTTGATGTGCATGTTTGATTTTGATGACTGCACTGTAATTTTCTGCTGACAAGTTTATGGTAGACAGCAGTGCCTATGTATAATAGGCAATCTCTAGTGTACTGCTTTTTCTGTTGGTGGCATATGGTTTTTTTGTAATTTTTGGGTTGCTGAAGACTAAGCTAAACTATTGAACACTGGGAGCCCGAACTTACAGAACTGAATATTTTTGTATGCCTTTCTTTCGGTGGGCTTCTGTAATTAAGGATGATGTTTAAAAATACTTCTTTATTTGGATTTGATAAAAGGCTGAAATTAAATCCTAGCAAGACCAAGTTGCTGCTGATTTTGTCTTAGTCTCTATGCTAATTTTAGATGGAGTTGCAGTCTCCTTGATGAAGCAGGTTTATAATTTGGGTATCGTCTCGGGCACCTGCTGGAATAATATACGGAGGCACAGGCTTTGACTAGTGTACAGGTTTGAGCCCTTTTTAGAACAGGAAGCCAATATTTAAATTCTTACTTCTTTGAACTGCTACATAAACTTTAGTTAAGATTGCCTTGAAGACTATTCAGAAACTTTACCAAGTTATAACAGAGATACTACATCAATACTATTGATGCTGCAATGGTTGTCAGCTTTTCTTGGTAAATTCAGGAATCAAAGTGCTGATTGTAAAGCCTTATAGTCCAGACTACCTATAAAGCCTTATGGTCCAGGCTACCTTTTTCCTCCAATAAGAATTAGTTGTTCTCTTTGATCCATCCATCAAGAATGTTCTGGGTTCCTCCTCATTGACAGATCAAGTGTAGTGGAAGCAGCCAGCCCTTTTAAGAACAAGCCAGCATTATCTACCAAAAAGTATATACCTGATCCCTGACAGCCAATAGAAGAAAAGAAGGGAGATCCCTTTGGACAGAAAAAGTTTGGTGTGGCTCTTATGATAAATGGGAGCTACGCCAGGCAAGGTTAGAAATCTACTAATAGTAGATTTTAGAATTACATTAATGTTTTTGATATGTAAAATGTGTTTTTCTGGAATAATTTTTTAGGCCCCCAAAATTTTTTCAACAGATAAACAAAGACTTAGCCCTTTATTTTATTAACTTTATGTAGCCTCCCATTTCATGAATGTGATTCTGGGTGATACAGAGTAAAAACAAAACAATAAAAATACATCTTAAAATAACCATAAAAACCATGAATCTGACATGGAAGTGTTTTATATATTTATACATATGTACATACATAGATAGATACACACACACACACACACACACACACACACACACACACAAACATATATATACTGCTCACAAAAATAAAGGGAACACAAACGTATAGGAACCTATACATTTGTGTTTCCTTTATTTTTTTGAGCAGTATACACACACACACACACACACACACATATATACATATATGTACACACAAAATATCCTGACCCCATTTCGTGTAGGATTTTAAATGTCAAAAGCAGCACCTTGAATTGGATTTGAAAGCAATTTGACAACCAATACAGCTAATTGAACAGAAGTGAAATGTGTGCCACCCTAGGAGTATCCATAATTGCTGTGCTGCTGCATTCTGTACCAGTTGAAATTTCTGAATACTCATCAAGGGCAGCCATGGGTAGAGTGCATTATAATGGTCTATTCAGGACATGAGCAGCACATGAGTAACTAAGCAGAGCCTATCAATTCAGGAATAGATGCAACTGGTGTACAGTTGAAGATGTGCAGAGGCCATCCTAGCCACAAGCATGAGTTGTTGGTCCAGAAGGACCTTTAAGTTACATACCAGTTCTCCCTGGGGCAAAGCCACCTGTTCAGTATCAAATGTGGTAAGGTTCTAAATCCAGGTAGTCTGTTGTTCTCCAGCTAGACCCTCATAGCCTCTAGGCATCGAGACTGAATATTAACAGCATCAGGGGTAGATACGTACAATTAAATATCATTAGCATATTAATGATCCTCATTCCATGGAGGTGGATGTTCTCACCCAACAGTTTCATGTAGAATACCAAGCCTTGCAGAACTCTGCATAGTAAGGGTCAAGGGTGGAATCTCTTTCTCCCAATCAACACGAACTGGTACTGACAAGAAAACAGCACAATACAATACTTCCCACTCTCACTCCATGGAACCAATCCAGAAGGATACCATGGTCAATGGTATTGAAGGCTACAGAAACATCAAGTAGAGTAAGCATGGATGCACTAACCAGTGCCATCTCCGTCACATACCCAGGCCTGAATTTTCACTAGTTAATGAAATCTAGCTCATTAAGAATCCATTAAAACTGCACAGTCTTAATAATCTTCCCTAAAAAAGGGAAATTAAACACTGGATTTAAATTGCCCAGTATGGTGGTATACAGCAATGACTTTTTGAGGACAAGATGAACCAACACCTTCTTAAGAGGTAGAGGAAAGCCCCCCATCTCAAGGAAAACTTCACCACTGCAAAAACCCATGTATGCAATACACACATTATCACCTCAGCAGCCTTGGTTAGTTAGCCAAGACGGGCAACCTAAGGAGCAGCTTGGCCAAACTCATAGTCATGGCCGAGTCATATATATCCATTTCCTCAGGTGCAATAGGTTTAAACCAGGGGTATCAAACTGCCGGATGCAACATGCCGAAACCACGCCCACCCCAGTTCTGGCAATGTGGAAAAAGTCACGATACGTCACAACATGTCACATGACATTGCGAGTTTGACACCCCTGGTTTAAACCATTTTGGATTAACACAGGAATCTCAACAGATCCTGCACCAAAGTTCTCCTGAAACTAAGGGGGAACAAAATGTGATTGAATTCTTAAGTGCTTAAAAGAGGATTTTAAAACTGATAATTTTTAAAGCTTGGAGGGTTTTTTCTTAATTTCTTATTTTCTATTGTTGTTCCTTTATGGCTTTTTGCTCGTGCCCATAATCTCTGGAGCAGGAGAGTGTGACTGAAAGGATGTTTAAAACGCTTCAATTTTGTAAGGTGTTGGACTTTGCTTGGATTAGCTTTTGTCCTCTTACTGGTTTGATTTTCATTTTCCAATATATGGAAACATTGTGCCTTGTCGCTTATCAGTGTGAACTAAAATGATTCTATTGCAAATAAATGTGTTTTTTTTTTAAATTCAGGAGAGTTTGGCGAAGTATGCAGCGGTCGTCTAAAGCTTCCAGGCAAAAGAGATGTTGCAGTGGCCATTAAAACCTTAAAAGTGGGCTATACTGAAAAACAAAGAAGGGATTTTCTTTGTGAGGCAAGCATCATGGGACAGTTTGACCACCCCAATGTTGTTCATTTGGAAGGAGTTGTTACCAGAGGTAAGTTGCAATCAGTTGTGATTTTTGAACAACTTTCCAAATTGTACCTCATTGTTACAAAATTTCAATGGTACGTGGTTCAAATCAGATCATTGTACTACATAAAGTAATGGATTTTTTTCTCTTTTTTATGCACGACTAACTGAAGCGATATTAAATGTATCCTACAGCTTGAGAAAAAAAAACTTAAAATTTTTGCATGAAGAAAAAATGGCAATGCTTTGTAGCAATTTTTTTCCTAGTCACATTTAGCATTAAATAAAATTCTCAATGTCTTTTCTTATTAAATGAAGTGTCGTTTTTCCAGAGTTCAGTTCACACAGCAGGAGACAGAAGAACACACTGACATTTTGATTTGTATGGTTTGATTTTTTGAGTCATGATCATTTTCTGTACAGAGACATTTAAGGACTTAGTAGATCACAGGAACTATTTTGGAAGCATTAGGAGCAGTCATGCCTCATTATTCATCTTTCAAAGAAACAACATGTTTTATCAAAATGGGGACATTCTGTTCAGATACAATTTCCTTAAACCAAATATGCCTCCCTTTTTCTATTTCTTCCTTTTAGGAAAACCAGTAATGATTGTAATAGAATACATGGAGAATGGAGCACTGGATGCATTTCTCAGGGTGAGTGCCTGAGGGAAACATATATAGCACTTCAAAAATAAAATATATATGCTACCAATTTAACATAATAAAACATTTTCAATGTAAAATGAGAACACACTAAATTTTAAGAGATCTCTGAATGGTCTTAGTAAAATCAGATTAGAAATTAGAAGACCAGACAGGATCAAACGACATTTTTGGCCATCTAAGTGATCCAACATGGCATAGATACAGTGGTTTTGGTTAGCATCACAGACTAGGACCTGGAGCCATGTTGTGGGAACACAGTTATAGCTTTTCTCCATTGAAGAAAAGACAGTCTTTAAATTAATGCAGAAATAGTTCAAAAATCATGGAAGTACTTTTTAAGAGCCCTACATTAGCATTATTTTACATGAGTTTATTGTTTGTGGCACACAACATATAAAACTCTAACTTGGCCCTTAGGAGCATTCATTAATATTAATGAATATGAATAAGATTAATAGCAAAATATATTTCAAGGCTTTTAAAATACAGTGTTGATTTCACTGCCAATCTTTTCGGCAATTGGTTTTCTGTCAATAATCTGTGCTTCTGATTTGCATGTATATGCGTACATGTGTGAATGTTCTATTTGTGTTAAGAGGCTAGATTTATTGTGTCTTTTTCATGGGATTAGCTTGTTCTTTTGATTAAAATATTCAACAGCATGAAATAAAACTTGAGAAAGCAATTCTGCTCAGGTATTATTATGTGAATAAATATGTTTGGTTTATAAATATGGGATTGGGTTTTTTTTTTAGCTGAGTGTGGAAAATTGAAGACACGTAAGGTTTTTGATAATTTGTGCAAATTTAAAAGTTTCTCATTTGGGATAAAAGAATTTAAAAGGATGGAATTTTCTGCTCTGCTTATTTTGTTCTTTATACAGATTCATCTAGCTATATTTATACCTCCCTGATTTATTATTGTTATTATTAATTATGCAGGATTACACAAATGAGTGTATGCATGAATAATTTTTAGTATAAATTTGTATTTTCCCCAAATACTAAAGGTCATAATGTACAGCTACAAACATGCATATGCTATAGCAGGGGTTCTGGTACCAGTCCATGGGCTGTTAGGAACCGGGCCGCACAGTTGGAGGTGAGCAGCAGGCAAGCAAGCAAAATCAAAACTATTCCCCCCCCCCCCAGTCTGTGAAAAAATTGTCTTCCACAAAATCAGCCCTGGTGCCATAAAGGTTCGGGACCACTGTGCTATAGAATGACATATGTCTTCATTATTTTAAATTATTAATTTAATATTTAAATAACTTAAATTAATAATTTAAACATAAATTAAATAATTTAAACAAACATCATGCCCACTTCCTTCAAAAAATGATGCTTGCAATGTATGGAATCATATTTTTGAATTGTAGTATTTCTCCATTTTTAAAACATTTGAACAGTACTACGATGGATGAATGAATGAATAATGAATGAATGAATACAGTGATACACACACACACACACACACATATACTTACATAATAAGAATTTGCGCACATGCTTTCAGAACATAAAAGCACACATTTCGTTCCTGAAAACACCCCTAGAATGGATTCCAACATCACTTATATTCAAAGATCAGCTCTCAAGCCAAAGAAAGTTATGTACGCCTGTCCGAATGCCATCCTGCATTTAGATTCTAAAAGGTAGAGATTGAACGTGTGTACTTTCTTTCCTCTCAGGTACTTTAAGCAGCATCTCTCTTTCCGTCTTCATTTCAGAAACACGATGGGCAGTTTACAGTAATTCAGCTGGTTGGGATGTTGAGAGGAATTGCTGCTGGAATGAGATACTTGGCAGATATGGGATACGTACACAGGGACCTAGCAGCACGCAATATTCTGGTCAATAGCAATCTTGTTTGCAAAGTATCGGACTTTGGTCTATCCAGAGTTATAGAAGATGATCCTGAAGCTGTCTACACCACAACTGTGAGTTGTACATTTAAAAGGAAAAAAAATCCACTCCAATATACTCTAATTTTCATACACAGTAAGATATTAGGTTGGGTTTGCTTTGGAAGAGAATGTACCAGATATTTATTAGGAAGGGAGGTTGTGCTTTGTCAGATTTTGTAAAAAAATTTTACTTAATAAATACTCATATAAAAAACTGCGTACTACATCGTCACTTATGCTATAAGTAGAACATAAAACTGAGTCACAAAATATCCCCAGACGTTGTAGATCATCTAGTGTTCTTTCTGCTTTCCCTTCCCCTTTCTGATTTCTTGGGGAACAGTTTATTCATTCAGACATTTTGTCCTCTGGAAAATGTTTGTATCATCTAAACACCAGTGGCTTTCTAACTGAAACATCTTTTATTTCCCAAAGATTAGTTCCCATTGAGGGAAACTTCATATAACTATCCTTAACCATTATCCTAGACTTAAACTCTTAACAAGTCATCTTATTAACAAAAGAATTGGTTACTAAATTTATTGTATCACAACACTATGACTACTAGTAATGATGATGTGATTAATTGTTTTTAAAATAGTAGGGGTTTTTTAAACAAAAAAAAATTAAATTACCTTAATACTGTTTGGGAACTCTTGTAATAGGGGAAGCAGCTGACCATTATTTAGAGTCCTGTTTGCATAAGTTGCATAAGAATGCATAAGTTGAAATGCTCAGAAGTGGAAGCTGTAGAAGCAGTATGACAAGGCTTTTCATAAACCATCATAAAGGTGCCAAAGAGATTACTTCTTTTCAGCGTTGTTTTGCTTTTCGGAAACCTGCATTCTCTTCGACACAACTCCAAAGTTTTTTGTTTTTTCATTTATAAAACGAAGCAAGTTTTGAGAAGCAATAATATGGAATAGGGTGAACAATTTTGATCATCAAGTGAGATTGGGAAACTTTGCTGCTATTCTTTCTTAATCAATGGAAAATCTAAGACTTGAGTGGTGCGGTGGATATCAGGAAGGAAAAGTAAGAGGTTATGGCCAATAGTTGCTGGGTTTATCTACTTCTGATCTAATTAGGAGACAATGGTAATAGTGTCTAAAATGTTTGAAATACTATGTACTATCCAACAGACATGCTTGGATATATATGCGCCACCACTGAGCTGTGGTAGTGCAGTGGTTAGAATGCAGTACTGCAGGCTAATTCTGTTGATTGCCAGCAGTTCAACCCTCACTGGCTCAAGGTTGACTCAGCCTTCCATCCTTTCAAAGTCCGTAAAATGAAGACCCAGATTGTTGGATGCAATATGTTGACTCTCTAAACTGCTTAAAGGGATGTAAAGCACTGTAAAACAGTATATATGTCTAAGTGCTATTGCTATATGCAGTGAGCTTGTTTCAGAAACTTTCTTCTCCCATAGGGTGGCAAAATTCCAGTAAGATGGACAGGTCCAGAAGCCATACAGTACCGGAAATTTACATCAGCAAGTGATGTATGGAGTTATGGAATAGTCATGTGGGAGGTGATGTCTTATGGAGAGAGGCCTTACTGGGACATGTCAAATCAAGATGTAAGTTGCCAAAATATAATTATACTGCTTATAATATGATATAATTGGAAAAGTCAAACTTACAAGCAAAATGGCCAGGATATTTTACTCCCAGGAGCACATAAGAAGCTTTAAAGTAATAGCCACATATATTTTATGAATAACTTAATTTATAAGTTACATTTATTTTCCCTATTCTTAAAGTTAGCCTTATGCAAACTTTGTGATCATTCAGCCAACATAGTACTACAATTACAGTACCTAGGTATTTTGTTTATGATTGTTTAGTTACTGGCTATGGTACATAATAATTAAATAATTTTTAAAAGGACAGATAGAAAACAAAAGGTGTATCAAGGGTGTTCAAACATAAATGATTTGTAGACTTTATTTTATCTCTTAAAAACACGTGAAAGAAAAATGAATTTTTTTATGTGTCATTTGAACATTCTTTATACCCAAAAGTTGCTATATTATATTCTACATGCAACTAAAATCTTTATGAAACAGGGTATTGAAATACAAGTTTATGAACATTCTTTTTCCTCAGAGGATATCTTTCTATTTTTTTAGTCTCCACCTATACTTATATTTCAGTATTTCTGATCCAATAGTTATATTACAAAATTCAAAGAATTAGAAATCCAAAAACAAATTACAGTTTGATAAACAAGTTAATCCAGAAATTGATTAGTAGGTTACCTGGACACAAGAGATCCCACAAATCAATTTCTTATAAGTGCTTCTTTCTTTAAAGCTGGTTGTGAGGATTTTCTTAGACATATACGGAAATATTTTTATATTTGGATCACCAACATAGAGAAGCAGCCAAATTCAGTAAATAATACTGAAAATAAATAAATGAAATAATAAAGGTATCTAAAAATTACAAGAGAGGAAAGGAGAAATGAATAATCTTTCATCTCTCACATTTGTGTTCTATAATTTATTGCAGCTGTCTTTCCATTACCTTCAAACAAAATAATATAATCCTTTTATAAATAGAAGAAGAAATATTCTGAAATAAGATAACCTAGTATACACCTTCTTACTATCTTTAGTCATAGGGTTGAAATTGTCATATTTTTTTCTTTATAAAACACGTAGTTAACTCCACACCCTAAATCTTAGCCTCCGGCTTGTTTATGCAGGTGTAGATTAGAAGTTATTTTCATAGGATCCAATATAGGTCTTTTAAAAGAATTTGTTGGTCCTTTTCTATGGATGTGAACTCCTTCGATTAATGTTTTTGAAGATGTTTACTCCTTATACAAAGTAGACTTATATGCAGGAAAGAAAGAGTCCTTGATCTTATCAAAACTTTAAGCATAATAGTGCCTGACTTTACAGTCAAGATCAGTAAAACTTCTAAACTACAAAATAGTTTGTAGTTTTTTATCAGCAAATCTAAACTACAAAATAGTTTGTAGTTTTTTATCAGCAAATAGTTTGTAGTTTTTTATCAGCAAATAAGATTCATGAAGGATTTGTAGAAAGCTAACATATATATATATATATATATATATATATATATATATATATATATATATATATATATATATATATGCAGGAAGTTTTTCAGACAGATGTCTAATTGATTACACCTTGACATTTTTTTAACTGCTATACTGCAGTTTTACTTTTTACAATCTCTTTTGCCTTGCAGCCCCCAACTAGGGGCGTTAAGCAGGCTCAAGTCGCAACTGCGAAACATTACAAATCCAAATTTCTTTTTCTGACAAAGAATTAAAGAATTAAATTGGGAGACTAAGATGGCCATTTCGAGCTCATTCAATCAATTAGACATCTGTCTGAAAAACTTCCTGCATATACTCCCTTGACTCAGCTGGCAAAGAGGGAGGAGAGCCTGTGGCTTGGTGGTTAAATCACTGCCTAGTATGTAAACTGCCCAGGTTCGAATCCCATAAAGGTGTGGCTAACTGACGAGAGCAGAATGAGCTCGAAATGGCCATCTTAGTCTCCCAATTTAATTCTTTAATTCTTTGTCAGAAAAAGAAATTTGGATATATATATATATATATATATATATATATATATATATATTACCCTGAATGAACACCCTGTCAGCCCAAATATGGGAGAAAGAAATCTTCTTTCAGGGTAATAATCTCCTCCCCCTGTCTCTCTCCTGATAGCTAACAAAGTGGGAGAGAACCCGTGGCTTAGAGGTTATAACATCTGCCTAACATGCAGATAGCCCAGGTTCGAATCTCAGAAGAGTAAGTTTGGCTGATGAGAGTTAAAGGAACTCGAAATAGCTATACCATTCTCTCTTTATTCTTTGTTAGCAAAAACCTAAAAATGTAAAATGATGTCACAGTTAGTGACTGCTGCTTGTGGATGGCTCTAGATTGAGCTGATACAGGCAAAAGAAAAGAAAAAGAAAGAAGATTTCTTTCTCCCATATTTGGGCTGACAGGGTGTTCATTCAAGGTAATAATCTCCTCCCCCTGTCTCTCTCCTGATAGCTAACAGAGTGGGAGAGAACCCGTGGCTTAGAGGTTATAACATCTGCCTAACATGCAGATAGCCCAGGTTCGAATCCCAGAAGAGTAAGTTTGGCTGATGAGAGTTAAAGGAACTCGAAATAGCTATACCATTCTCTCTTTATTCTTTGTTAGCAAAAACCTAAAAATATATATATATATATATATATATATATATATATATATATATATATATATATGTATATATATTCTCTAATTACGTTAAAAATTCGAATCTGGGTAAAGCCATGCAGTAAAAACAAATAAATGCAAACACCAGGATAATATCAAACTAAAAATCGTTTAATAAAATGCTGAGCTTTCGTCGGTCGGCACTTCCGACATCATCAATGCATAAGAGCAGATCAATGGGAGTCCCCTTTTTATAATACTGGCCGGTTTTGAACACGGCTCCTGGACCTGGTCATCGGTTCATCCAACACCCTTAATAGTTTAACTCCTAGGAGGCACGCATTGGCTGTTCCCTTGGTGTTTTCCAAGGCTTCTATTCCATTACCCACTTTTCTTCCTCCAGTCCCTCCCCTCATACACACACTGCTGTCTGTTATTCTACCACTGATTTCTAACACTGCTGTTCTCCTTTCCCCCCTTTTTTGGCCAATCGCTTCCTTCGTGTATGTCCAATTATCTGCTTCCACCCCATTGGGTCTCGGGCTTGCTTCTCTTTCCTCCCCCTTTTTCCTTTCGATCGTTTTCCTCATGTATCTGTAGTCATCTGCCGTATCTCCATTGGTTTTGGGAGTCACTGTTCTTTCCTCCCCTCCTTTTTTTAGTATTCATTTTGTTTGTATGCCTCCAACTATCACATTGTGCTAAACGCTCTAGTTCATTCCCTCTCTTCACCCCCATCTAGGATCATATCTATTCCTTCTGTACGGGGCTGTCAATGTGCTGTGTATTTAACTCGGTCCTCCTGCTCTTTCACCCTGTTGTTCCTGCACGTGTGCAAGCGTCTCCAGAGTAGTCTGCTGAGCGTGTTCGGATGTCCATCCCGGGGGCTTTCAGCAGATATGTTCTTATACTCGCTCCTCTGCTGGGGGGTGTTGCTCCACTCCGGGGGTGCGCCAGGGCATCTAGGGGACCTCCTTCCCACTGTTCATTCCAATCTTGCTTTCTCTTATCCATTGTTCGTATTCCTTGCCTCTGTACCACCAAACCATCTACAAACTGCCCATTGGACTCCGCTCCCCCATTTAACAACTGTCATGCTTTTTTTGCTCGTGTGCAAGCTCCCAAAGGGGGGTTCTTCTGCCGGTTGTTCGCAGGTACTCATTGTAGGGTTGTCAGTGAGTTGTGGCATTATTTTCACCCCATGCTCTCCTAACTCTGTGCCTAAAATATTTTTGGGGTGCACTTCTTGTCCCCCTTTCTCTATTCCCCTTTTGGTATGCACTGTTGGTCTGTTGTTACTTTGGCAGGTTATTCTCTCTATTGCCCTATTTCCCTGACCTTTTGACAGGTGAGTAGATCGCTTTCATTGGGATTCATGGCGTTGTTTATCCCATGTTCTCAGTGTCTGATGTGCTGGGCAGAGTTCTACGTCGCGGTTTACAGAGTTCTCATCGGAGAGCCAAGCCTCTTTAAGTAGGCAGCCCCCTTTGGTGGCAGAGATGAGAACTCTGTAAATCACCACGTAGAACTCTGCCCAGCACAGAGAGAACAGCGACTCCAAAAACCAATGGAGATATGGCAGATGACTACAGATACATGAGGAAAACGATCGAAAGGAAAAAGGGGGAGGAAAGAGCAGCAAGCCCGAGACCCAATGGGGTGGAAGCAGATAATTGGACATACATGAAGGAAGCGATCGGCCAAAAAAAGGCGGGAAAGGAGAACGGCAGTGTTTGAAATCAATGGTGGGATAACAGACAGCGGTATGTACGAGAGGAGGGATTGGAGGAAGAAAAGTGGATAATGGAATAGCAGCCTTGGAAAACACCAAGGGAACAGCCAATGCGTGCCTCCTAGGAGTTAAACAATTAAAGGTGTTGGATGGACCAATGACCAGGTCCAGGAGCTGTGTGCAAAACCGGCCAGTATTATAAAAAGGGGACTCCCATTGACCTGCTCTTATGCTTTGATGATATCGGTAGTGCTGACCAACGAAAGCTCAGCATTTTATTAAACGATTTTTAGTTTGATATTATCCTGGTGTTCGCATCTATTTGTTTTTACTGCATATATATATATATATATATATGTATGTGTATCTGTATGTGTGTGTGTGTGTGTGTGTGTGTCTATCTATTACACATACATACATATAATATACATACATACATACATACATACATATAATTTTCTGAGGTTTTTTTTAATCTTCTTGAAAATATTGGTTTATTTCCATCTGTGGAATAGATTGACTATAGGGAGATTAATGTTAAAAATCCATCAAAGAATAGTCTAAAAGAAACATATCAAAGCATTTCCATTCTGGTTTGAGCAGTTGGGTATTATAGATGCCAATTGGCAAGAGAAAGGATAAATTGTTTA